AAATATGCCCGTTACCCTTTTGAACCGGGACTAAAGATCATCTTTAGCCCCGGTTTTTATTGCATCCGGGACTATTGTGGAAATCGGCCGACCGACGAAAGATGGTTTCTCTACCAGTGCAGTTTTGACGGTAGGGGAAGATGGTTTGCGTAGAATTGCCACTCACCTCTTTCAACGTCTATCTCACATGTGTTCGGTGTCCCCTTTGCAACCTACTGCTTCGTTCCAACATTCATCTCCTCTATATATAATTGATTAGACATTGTAGTTAACATATCGGTAAAAGAAATAGTAAATACACATTATAACACAGTATGCTAGCTTTTCCATGGGATCAAGTACTGGCCTGAGATAGATATGAGTTAGCATCGAGAATTGTTGACAGGAAACACTGTAGAGAGATAAGCACAAGTCAGAAAAGAAGATTTGTTTTGCAAGTCATGTGTAAAAACTGTCCATCCAATAACAGTCGACGGTGGTCGCGGGTGACATGCATGCATTTCACTGCTACAAAAACCATCTTTCATGGCGGCTATTTTAGATTTTCGCTGGCAGAATTTGAAGCCTCCACAGAGAAAAAGGCCAGTCAAGATCTAAGGTTTTCGCTGGCGGTTTCGTTCCGCTTGCGAAAATCTATTTTTGCTAGCGGTTACGGTCCGCTTGCGAAAATAATGATTTTTGCTGGCTGTTGAGGGTTGCTTGCGAAACCAATTTTCTCTGACAGTTGCCTAAAGAGAACCGCCAGCGAAAATCAACCCACCCTGTAAAAAATTCCCTACCCCAAATTCAGAATTCCCCATCCGGCCAAATTCAAAACAGTCCATATTTAAAAATGTAGATAAACATCATTCAAGCATAATCCAAACACAGAGCATCACAAATACGTACATAATATTGGCATCAATCCAAATACAACATTGGCATCATTAACAGAACAGACACACAGATTAACCTAACAAACATCCTTACACACAAAAACACACAAAGAGAACCCTAGCCGCCGAAGCCATCGGGGACGAGCCGCCACTGCCGTCATCTGCCGGTTGCCTCCCCTTCCCGCCGTAGGCCTCCTCTAGAAGAGTCGTGCGTGCTCAAGGTCGCCGAGCCCAGCCGGCAGCATCATTGTCGTCACCGTCGCCACGGTCACGGTCCTCGTTGTCAGCTCCGCCGCCGGGGACGAGCCACCGCCGTCGTCGCCATCCCCCGCCCGCGCCGCGTGCTCCCCGCGCCACTGCCGAGGCAGATCCGCGCGTCCTCCCCGCCGCCGCCTCTGTTGCGCCGGCGGCGGCGGCCTCCTCCCCTCGGACAGATTTGGGAGAGGGGAGAGGAGGGGATGGGAAGGCAGGGGCGGCACGGGGAGCTGCCGTCGTCGGTCGTCGCTGCCAGAGCCGCCGCTGCCGTCGCCGGTGGGAGGCCGGGAGGGAGGAGGAGAGGGAGGAGGGAAGAGGAGTGGATAAGAAGGGGAGATGTGTGGTGTTTTAATGTGAAGAAGAGGATGAGGATGAGGTAGGTGGGTGTTTTAATGTGACAGGATATTTTTTTTGTTGGGTTTTCTCTGGCGGTTCTGTTTATTGGTCGCCAGGAAAAATTCAACCTAATTTTTGCTGGCGGCGCACCTAATTGACCGCGGGCAAAAATAGACATATTTTCGCTGGCGGCCGCATTAGACGAGCCGCCATTTTCGCTGGCGGACGGTGCCCCTCACCCCCTCGTTACGAGTTTGCTGGCGGTTTTCACATTTTTCCGCCAGCGAAAATAATAGACCAACGCCATCAAAAAATATTTTTCTAGTAGTGTTTGACACAGCGAATCTAACACAGGCTCCTATGTTCTCGGCAGGTGGACTCATGACGGACGACGAGTCGACTATGGATGGACGAAAATTATGGATTTAAATGAAAAATCATGTGTAACGAGATATTATGGATGCTTTTCTGTTACCAGTGAAAAATTACGAAGTTGGAAAAGCATGCTCTTAGTAGGTAAACACCGTAATTGTTCTTTTCTAAATCAATAAAACCACCGAACTGAGTTCCTTTGAAAAAGAAAACAATCGAACTGGACTTAATAGAATGAATGCAACAAGTAATTAATGGATTATTAAGAATCATGTGGCCCGGTACGTGTAGGGCAACGGCCCATCAGTTAAGAAGCACACTCGGCCGAGTGGTGGTCTGGACGTAGCGATGCAAACGGGTCGACCTGTGAACCTATTTATATGTTAAATAAAGGGTAATCCATGAGTTTTCGCGTAATGAGTCGGCTTGTCGCGTTGTAGAGAAGTAAGTGGATCAACTTATAAACCCATTTATATATCAAATTAGTAGGTAACCCGCGAGCCAACCCGCGGGTTATCCACTTATTTTGCCTATAAGCAGGTGGCCCGCTTGCATCCCAAGCTAGACGCCGCCTAGACAGGTGTGGTGCGTAGGGATGCAAGCAGACCGACCCTCGAACTTGTTTGTAGGTCAAATAAGTGATAACCAGCGGGTTCTAATATCGTGGTCCGGCTTGCCACATCTAGAGATGCAAGTGGGTCGATCCGTAAATCCACTTATATGTCAAATTAGTAGGCAACTTGCGGATCAATCCACAGGTTTCCCACTAATTTTGCGTATAAACGAGTTCACGGGTCAACCCACTTGCAGCCCTTTGTGCGGGATCACTAGCGTGGGGTCACTGGGGTAGCATTGTTGTGCAAGAGAACCGTGTCGCCCATGGAACAAAATTGGAAATGAAGTGCGAAACGCATGCGTCCAAATGCAAAAAGGAAACAGATGACGTGGCAGGAACAAGTCAAACTTTTATCTTTATCTTTACCTATAACTATTATAAAAATTGAAAATGATTTAGTACTCACCCTCATTCATTCACCTTTTCGTCAGTTGTATCGTATCCGATACAAAGTATGGTGCTCGTATGAAAATCGCTTAGCGATACAGCACGGCATCGACATGTCTACTACTAGATGATTGCAACGGGAATTTATAGTAAACAACTTAAATAAATTTGAAGTTGTTAACTGGTTTTAAGTAGGAGAAAAACAGAGAAATGCTAAAAGCACAAAGCACAATCGACAGTTTGAACAATCTAAATGGAATTAGTTAGATGACAATATGGTGGTGTTCTTTTGTCCTGAAAATGAACATGAAGATGAAGATTAAGGTTTTACGTAAAACGAGATGGCATTAATGTATGATTGATTGAGTTTTAATTATTACAAACTTGAAAAATATATTAATATGATATTTTAGAGCAACTTTCATATAGAAAGTTTTCACACAAAACGTACCGTTTAGCAGTTTGAAAAGCGTGCCACGAAAATTTTAATCTTCATCCAACTTTTGTTGGAGAAAAAAACAGAGCCTATGAAGTAATAGTCAAACTGTATATTCTACTTTAAATAAAAAGGAAAGCACCTACTTCAATTGATTTTTGATGTGGACGTTATTGCGAATGAACTTCATGGAGCCAAAGTAGACAATGCACTCACCAGTTGAGGCACACTGAAAATCAAGTAAACACAAACTGATCTTTTCAAATCTGATTCTTCCATCACAACCACAAAAAAATATCAATATTTGAAGCTTGAAGCTTTAGTAACAAAAAGGAAAGCATACAGAACAGATGGGATAGATGAAAGCAAAGATCCAATGTCACACTATACATAATTTATGTAGGTACAAGGCACCTTAAAGTGTGTTTTTCCATAAAGCTCGGGCCTTATAACTCTCATAACTCTTCCCCCTGGTTGAAAAGAAATATTGTCGTTTATTAGGGTCTAAAGCGTGTGTCAATAGAAAGAAAGTACTTTTAATATCCCAAAATATTACATTGTGGACTGAAACATTTTACAACTGAAGATAAACAGTTGTACTAACCTTATAAATATCCCAATGGTTTGTCCTTTTTTGATAGAATGCTTTATTCTGCAATCGAGATAGAAGAGCATCCATTATAATCCAATCCAAAGAAAGATCTGAAGAATTAAGTAAACCTGATTGTGCAACAGGAGCATTTTTTTTAATAAAGAAGGATTAGATGGACAGCCTGAGGAACTAATATGCACCTCAATCAAGTTCATCACTGAACTAATAATGGTGTGGCTTATTATCTGGGTACATACCTTTTGATCTTGGAATAGATTTCAGTATCTGACTGAATAGAGGGAACCAAAATGACATTCGCAATAAGATAGATAGTACTCTGAGAGTAAGTAGAAAACAGATCTTGTGAGTTGTGACTGAAGGCTTTAAATAAAAAAAAGCATATGAAGCTATACGGCTCAAGAACAGAAAGAACCATACCTGCACGAGGAGAGTTGGATGTGAGCACAGGCGAATAGGTTAATTTGATGTGCTATTGCGTATTGGAGCATACCAAGGAGGTCCTTTAGTAGATATGGGCCCCAGCGTTCTTAATTTTGTTTGTATAGCTGACATGTGGGCTCATAGTTTTTATTATTTTTTCCTAGGATCGAATTGCCAGGGAAACGCCACGTCAATGCCGCGTGGGATAAAGACCTAGTAAAACTAGCCACATAAGCGCCACATCAGCTAAAACCGCCTTCCGAACCACCGAGGAACCTCGTTTGCACCGGTTTTGACAGTTCAGGGAGCGGTTGTATCTGGTTCAAGGACGAAAAATCGGATTCGATGTAAAGTTAAGGGACCTCAAATGAACTTATTCCTTTAAAATGACATCAATTTAAACAGGCCCTAAAGGCCCGTTATGCCCAAAACTGGGAGATATATCACAGGGCCCATTAGGCCCATACCAGGATCTACACGAACAGGCCAGTGAGGCCCACAGCACGGAGCTAGATGACCAGGCCCAAATACGGATCTACACGAATTGGCCCATTAGGCCCATTTGGACCTTCCTGTGAAGAAATTAATCCAAGAGAGAATGACACAGGTGGGGTCCACTCGAAAGAACCCACGTGGGAGAGGAGAACAAAAACAGAGAGAGAGGGGGAGGCGGTCCAAGGCGGCGGCGCGGCCGGCGGCGACGGGATGGAGGCCACCGGCGGCGGCGATGCGGCGGCGGAAGGGAGGAGGGGGGAAGGGGGAGGAGGGGCCGCGCGGTGGGCGGTGGGCGCGGTGTGCGGCGGGCTGGTGTACTACCACTGCGCGGTGCGGCGGGCCAGCGCGGTGTCGCTCGCCGCCGACGTGCTCCTCGTCCTCCTCTGCTCGCTCTCCATCCTCGGCCTCCTCTTCCGCCACCTCCACATCTCGTCAGTAAACCCTCCCTCCCTCCCTCCTTCCATCAAGCGCTTGTTTCTTGCTGTTTCTTGGTGGTGTCGATTCAGATGCTCCTGGTTCGATGATACAGCTAGAGTTCTTGTTCTCTCTTTAGTAGGCTAGTATTAGTTGTATCTGCATAGGATTTCAGCACTAGTTGCTGATTCCAGTATGCTAGTGTTAATTGTATCTGCATAGGATTTCAGCAGTAGTTGCTGATTCCTACAACCTTGTGATGATATCAATTTCGGTCGCTTATTTGTGTTTGATGCGTTCATCGCTAAAGAGGGAGGCTTCAAATTGTGATTTGGTGCTTTCTTGATCGTTGCGGTAGGCATTAATTGCTGAATTACACTAGGAAATAAAGCGTTCCTTCTCTCACATGCATGAAAGGGGAAAGGATGCAGGGAAGTATAATGGAATGGTTTTAACTGATTTTTAGAAATTGTTAGTGTTATCATTGCTAGGACACACACAGTACAACGCTACAACTGGTGGTGTTTTTTTTTTTCCACTTCATATTGGGGACCAACTCCAAATGCATAACTTGCACTGGCCTTTTCGATTGTAAGTTCGGTAGCTGTGACTGACTGACGCTAGGTTCAAACTTATTTTAGCAGCAATAGTCACTTGTCCGTAAGCTCTTCCACATCATCATATTTCTGGTTTTAAATAGGTTTTGCATTTTTGCATATTCTCCCTCCAACATTCATGCTCGACGTCCTCCTTATCATACTCATCGATTCTTTACTTTGTAAAGCGCTTTGTTTTTATTATCACAAGTTACACATAAAATGTATCAACAATTAAACACTTCTGTTCCTGGCATTTTGTTCACATAAGCAATACATCTAAGCGATTATTTTGTTTTGAACAAAAAAAAGGTGGTGTTGAATGATAAAGATAATGTCTCTGGCACTCTTGTTCGGCGTTTCTTTTAGCTTGTACATTTTATTTTTTTGATTGATGATGGCAATGATTTTCATGATTGAATTACGATTGCTGCTATGCATTTTTTACAGTAGTAGGCTAATAGTGGTAGTCTGGTAGACTTGTAGTGGAAAATGATGTTGGCAGTAGTTGCTTGATGCTTGCATTGGTAAAGAATGTGGAACATGGGATTGCAATCAATCATCCATGGAATAAGGATTAAGAGCTGGTTCACATTGGAACAAATTCAATTTTAATCTCAAAAGGAAAAGTACAAAGGAGATAGGAAGTAAATAAGAGTTATTCAATTTTAGATCCCCAGATTTTTAGTATTTTTTAGGAATGTTAATATTTTGTTGGTATAACCTGCCATAAAAGCACATAATAATAGCGATGGATTTTGTCTTGACATATTCCAACCCCAAATGTATTGTCTCCTTTCTCTTTTCTTTCCACTGTAATCTTAATACTTAGCAACATTATATTCCTGACAATTATAGCAGCAATAGTCACTAATCTAAACTCTTTCACATCATCGTATATCTGCTTTTGAATATATTTTGCATACCTTTTTCCTCTACACATTTTTGCTCTGCTAGCTGACATCCCTCTATCACCAAATTATAGAAGGATCTGTTGATAGATTGCAAGCGCCATGCTTTTGCTACTACTTGCAAGACTACCCCAAATTCCATTGAAACTGTATCAGTTATTATTTTTGCTATTGCAGTAACTGAGATACGGTAACCATATTTGAGAAATAGAAAGTGGTGTATGCTGTCAATATTGAATGAAAAAATGGCGTCTGTGGTACTTTGCTTTGGATGTTTTTGTTAGTTTCTATGTTATACAGCTTATTAATGTGATTGATGAGTTAATGATGACTACTGATGTGCATTTCGTCTTTCATAGTTCTCATTTTGTGTTAGAAGTAGCTATACACTTATGTTTGATCATTTGATATGAATGTTCATGTAAACTATCCTTATTTTGCTCTCTCTCTCTCTCTCTCTCTCTCTCTCTCTCTCTCTCTCTCTCTCTCTCTCTCTCTCTCTCTTTTTGCATGTAGGGTGCCCGTGGATCCTCTTGAATGGCAGATTTCTCAAGAGATGGCGAATAGTATAGTTGCATCCTTGGCTAACACAATCGGAGCTGCTGAATCTGTATTGAGGGTGGCTGCGACTGGACATGATAAGAAGCTCTTTTTCAAGGTATTTATCAAACTTTAACTGTAGGTTTGTTCTTTGAGGAACTTTTGAAGCAAAGAAAAGCTTATCTTCTTAAGACGTTTGCAAGCTATCAGTGCTATCTTGTTGACATATAATTTAAGTCTCTTGTGGAAATTGCAACCTGACATGTGGGGTCAGGTGCATTTACATGATTGCACCTATCATTCTATCACCATGGATGCTAAAAAACAGAAGGAATGAAAGAGATCAATTACCCCTTGTTAAGGGATAAATTGATTTTATCTTCTCTTGTTTCATCTTAATGCAGCCTGAGCTGTTTGACATGATAGCTATATTTGCAACAACCATCTAACCATCTCGTACAAAGGAAATTGCTTGGCTTTCGGTGAACTTTCCTAGTACTTGTTAAAAGATGTGTATGTACATATTGCTCGGCTCACAGTGAACTGTCATTTTTTTAGATAATGGAAGCTTTATTGAACTCGGCCAATTACATCAAGCTTTATGTACATATTGTTCAGCTTACAGTGAACTGTCATACCTGAGCTATAACATAAAAGGTGCATATATACACACTGTTTAGCTTACAGTAAGCTACAACCTTGCAGGTGGTTTTTACTCTGTATTTTCTAGCAGCTTTGGGGAGGGTGGTGTCAGGCGCCGCAGTTGCTTACGCCGGTAAATATACCTCATTAACTTACTTATGATCCGATTTATTCCTGCATACTTTATATTTATCACTTAACACCTCTGTGCTCTCTTTCTCTCTGTCTAAAATGATTTATTGCCCAACTTGTTGTGACCAGCGCTCTGCATCTTCTGCCTCTACATGTTTGCACAAAGCACTGATCTTTTCGATCAGCTCCCTTCTTGGGTTCCCGTAGGAAGAGATTCTCTTGGCGGCTCTCAGGATACAACATGATTCTGTACATCAGCTAGTTTGTGTGTACGATCGACTCTGCAGGTCAATATATAGCTTCTTGAACTGTATGTATAGCATCTGTTGCTTCTTTCACGGCTCACCTCTGCATTGCAGTTGTTCATGGTGTCCTGTAACAGCAGCATCACCTCTGTATATCATATGCTGTTGCTAGCAACTTTGTGGAAAAGAAAAATATCATTTGTGGTTCTTTTGCCTTCCTGTCCCACGGATCTCGTTCCTGTACACGAGAGCCTAATGCATATTCGCACAAATTTTGACAATTTGACCCTTTGAAAAAAAAAATTACAAATGAACCGCCGCCAAAACTTATTTCAGAAATGACACTTTTTTTCAGCGCCAAATCACCTGGCGCTGAACTTAGACATCTCAGCGCCACGTCAACCGGCGCTGAATGCCGTGCCACCGCGGATGGGAGGCTAAGTCAGCGTGCCAACGCATATTCAGCACCACACAATTTGGTACTGAACAAAAGGGTCATTTTTGAAATAAGTTTTGGTGGCGGTTCATTTGTAAAAATAGTTTTTGCAAAGGATCAAATTGTCAAAAATTGTGGCATATTCAATAGCGAAAATGCAACACAATTCTCCAGGTCTAACTTGTGATATCTGGGGCTCAAAGCTTTGCCTTTTTTAAGATAATGGATAGAAATTTAGCTTCTATATTCACATGTTACATAGACAAAAAAACACGGAAGAAACTTCAAACTGGACGTCCGATTGTTTCTTAAAAAAATTAGACGGTCAAATGTTTCAGTTATACATTTCATTGAAACACTATTGAAACATTTATTTTTTTTTGGAAACACAGGAGACACACATTGAAAGATGTCGCTATCGTGTATGAAATATTAAGTGCTAGTGAATTGAAACATGTTTTTTTTTCATCAGAATATAATCACGTGATATCTTGTTATAAAGATTAATTACAATGAATATAACTGTGTGATCAGATCGTAAATTTGATAAGTAGCTTAGGAGAAAAATCGTTTTGAATGTCACTAAATGCATGTCTGTTGTGAAACACGGTAAAGATACGTTGAAACATGTATCTATCATGTATAAAACATTAAGTTTAAACGGTTTGAAACACATATTTTTATTTTATTAGAATATAATCTTGTGCTTGTTGTAAATATTTAATTACAACAAATATAACAGTGTGGTTGGATCGTAGATCGAATAATTAGTTTAGGAAATAAAAGATTTAAACAGCGGAGGAAGGATAATAACTAGATAGTTGAGCCAGATTTTTATTCACTGCGATTCTAAATATTCTCCATGGCTTCTTCTTGTCCTCCACCCCCTCCACTAGATTGAGATAAGAAAAAGAGGGCAAGAAGGTTGTTTCTCATCCAGATTGATGAGTTGGTTAAGCTAAAATGGTAAAAATGAAAACAATTTTTAGTAGACCTAGGTAGCAAATAATCAAAATTCTTTGAAAGAGTGCTATTTGAGATTGCGTTATTGGAAAGAATAGTATATAGAAGAACTCAGTATATATGATGTTGAGTTTATGACCAAACTAACATAAAATTGAAAAAATATATATTGGGAGCCACCTAAGGGTGAGTTCAATTTTATCACTTTCCCAACTCACCTCTCTCATCTTTCGTGCACACATTTTTCAATTTACTGAACGGTGCATTAATTATTTGAAAAAGAAAATTCTATACGAAAGTTACTTTAAAAATCATATTAATCTATTTTTCAAATTTTTTAGCTAAAACTTAATTAATTACGCGTTAATGTGCAACATCTTTTTCCGTCCCGAACACAACCTAACAACTTTTCTTTTAACTCACGAAAACATTGTATATTCCATACGAAAGTAGTAGTAAAACTATACTTCTTCCTTTTGATGTATAAAGCTAAACTCGAAAACTTGGAATGGCATGAAACTAAATTTTCCCTTGTAGTAATTTTGTAAACAATCGCCGTTCCAAAGGTCCAAACCAGACAAACACCGGTTTCCAAATTCCAAAACCGAGAGAGACGGAAAGAGAGCATAGCTGAAATCGCTGAAAAGGCCCAGGGTGGAAGCGGAGGTTCCAAAGCCGGAAGCCAAACCCACAAAACCCCCCATCGACTCTCTTTGCAGTTTGGACCAGCCTCGTTCCTATCGCCTCCTCCTCCTCCTCCTCGATTCGCATCCCCACCTCGCCGCGCCAATGGAGGCCACCGCCGCCGCCGCCGCAGCGCCCGCGAGATCCGCGCTCCCCTTCCGGAGCCGCGTCGCCGCCGCAGCACGCCCAGGACGCGCGCCGGCGCTGTCGGCCGCCCCGGGAAGGCGCCTCGTCGCGCGCCGCGCCGCGGGCGACGGCCAGGCGGTGGAGGCTCAGGAGGCGCTCCCCATCGAGAAAAGTCCGGTTCCCCTCCTCTCTCTCTCTCTCTCTCTCGCTCCGTATGGCATCGGTTGCCTGTGTTCGCCATTAACTGAGGGAGATATGTTCGTTTATTTTGCCTCTCGCAGGGTTCCCTCCCTTCCCGAGCGTCATGGACATCAACCAGATCCGCGAGATCCTGCCCCACAGGTGAGCTCTAACCGCATTCCGCTGCTGCTGCTGCTGCAGGATAGCTCTTTGCCTTACCTTGTGTGTTTCATTTCGCTTGTAAGATGTTGGCAATGCGAAACCATTCGAATTACTCGATACAAATCGAAATTATACCCTTTTGAAGTTCGATGAGAGGCATATGAACTGTGCGTGCAATCTGTTGAAAACAAAAAAAAAACAATATCCTGATATTAGAGTTAACCTCATACTCTTTTTTATTATTATTTTCAGTACTAGCTAAAGGCCCGTGCGTTGCAACGGATATTATAAAAGATAAAAACAAAAGTAAAAATTGCAACTTCATAGCATAGTTAGTTGATTAGGCATATAATGCCATGTCCAAAGCAAAAACAATCACGTGTGGGGATTTTATGGCTCTACATGTCAACTTGTGGCGTTGGAGGCAGACTCGGACACTACCACTAGCATCATTAAAGCAGTATAGATAGATGAAAGAAAAAGATGCTTCATAGCCCTCTGAATTAATGGAAGCTTTATGTTCATTTCCTTTGAGCTCACTTGGTGAAGAAAGGCATTGTCTTTTTTACTAGAAAGTACTAACATGCATCTTGGATATTTTTATGCTCGCCTATGTGGATATACACCTGATGAGCCCAAGCAAGAGAAATGATTGGTGATGATTCACGAATATGTAATTGTTTAGTATTTTCTCTAACTTGTGCATTTGAATGTGAATGTTAGGTTTCCATTCCTCCTGGTTGATAGAGTTATTGAGTACAAGGGAGGAGAATATGCAGTTGGGATCAAGAATGTCACGATAAATGATAACTTCTTCCCTGGGCATTTCCCCGAACGACCCATAATGCCTGGTGTTCTCATGGTTGAGGTATGATTCCACTATATTGGCATCCATGTGCTGTGATCAAATTGTTTAGTATATATGGCCTCTGTTGTTTCCTGAGGTTTGATCATCTCTCATTGTGGTCTCTGTACATTATCTATAGAAATGCCAGTCCATGCTACGCTACTTAGTTCTTCATTTAATTTTACTATGACCTCATTCTATCATTTTTTTTTTTGCAGTCTGAGCATATTGATACTCAATTCATCCATTTTCAGGGTACCAATCTCATTTAACAAAATAAAAAAAAAGTTGAATTTGATGAAAAAAGTAGTAGTACTTTCTCAAAGCCATTTTACTGCATTTTTCATCTCTGTCGAAAAGTACTATGAAGTAATAAGGAACTTGCGTCAATCGATTTGTTTAGTTTCTTGTCCTTTTCAAACTGATGAAAAGTTTTGATATCCAAGTATTCAGGCACTAGGTGGGTAATGGATATTTGGTACCATGACCAATGATTTCATGTGGGACTTGTAGAACTAATAAGTTTTATGGTAAAGGTTTTGCAACAACTATGTTTTCATAATCCAAACTGAACCAATGGCGCAACTTAGAACCCATAAATAGATGAGGACATGGCTGGATGTTTTTTAATTGCTTATTGTTCTATCATCAAGTAGACAAACATCTGAACTTCCCTCATGTGAGGCTACCTTTATGCACAGGCTATGGCCCAGGTTGGGGGTCTGGTGATGTTGCAGCCTGAAATTGGCGGATCTCGGGACAATTTCTTCTTTGCAGGAATTGATAAAGTGAGGTTCCGTAAGCCAGTAATTGCAGGGGATACCTTGATCATGAGAATGACTCTGACCAAGTATCAGAAAAGATTTGGTCTTGCCAAGATGGAAGGAAAAGCTTACGTTGGTGGTGACCTAGTGTGCGAGGGGGAGTTCCTCCTGGTTAGCGCAACCGAATAGTGCAAAGGGCACCTAGTATTGTGTGATTCTCTTGTAGAATCATTGATTAGAACGGGATGAGGTTCATTGCTTGAGAAGAGTTGAGTTTTGAACTGAACTTACGGCTTTGAGGCTATCTTTTCATTTTACCTATTAGGTGAATTGAGTTCAAATGTCCAAGGCGCCATATGTTCCGTTCAGGCGCTTAATTCTACCTATCTGGCTGTGGTTGCTGTTGTAAACTTGTAATACATGATACAATCTCTTCCATAAGAATTTCATGAAATAAACAGTGCTTGTTCGGTTGTGCTTATATTGAATTTCTGGTGATATTTAACACTCGTTCTACTCAAACACCAGCAAGCAAATATCAAAATATTTTCATGTAATCTTCTCATAGTATTCCCATGAATTTCCCAATCTTTTGTTCTATGAAGAGTTGAAATGTCAAATGCATCACTGATGGTCTTTTTCCTATTCTTTTGTACCCAGCAGCCTCTTTGACCTTTTCTGTTTTACAAAAGGCCTTTCTTTTGCCTACAAACAACCGTAGGAAAGGGGGAAAAAAAGCTAAGGGTAAAGTACTCTCTATTCATTGTAAACGTGCAAAGTCAACTTGAATTAGTCAACACAAATACACCATAATAACATCCATGGTTGTAGTTAAATTACAACTGAACTTCGAGGAACCAAGTCATCTTGGTTGCCTAGTCAACTCTTCTGTTCACAAGAGATAAGTTGGCTGAATTCTGTTAATTAATAGACTCCAAATTACTAGATGTCCTGGGTTGTCTTGAGGCTGTCATCATAGCTTAGAACATGGCTAATCTTGTGGCAATGAACATGAAGAGGAAAGAACATGATGAGGTGGCCAACAATGGATTGTCCATCTTTCTTGATCCTAAGAGGCTCAAATTACAGGTATGGCAATGGCAATTGGCAAATGCTGTCCACTCCTCTCTCTTCTGTACTAATTCATATACATAGGATTTTGTTTTTACGAGATCGTGTTAGAAGCCAGCAGAATTTGGGCTAAATCGTAGAAAAGCATGAGACCATCAACATGGCAAGATTCCATGGTTGATTCACTTTACTCACCTCATCAGTCTATATTCTGCTTGAATTTTTCAGAAACCTAAAACCATTATCAATTCACAGTGGCAACCAAGAACATAAACTGAGGCATTCAATTCAGTTCATGTTTTGAGGGCAATTGAAACATTTAATCCATGAGCTCTAATGTTTCATCTCTTCTTGCTGTCATCAGGATGGTGAGATTCCAAACACGATGGAGGAAGAGAAACCATCAGCAGGTGTTCAACCTGATCCTACTGTGCCAACCATGGCCTTATCATGGATGCTACCAACTCAGGGCCAAGAGACTATCCATGACACTATGAACACTGCATATGAGATGTCATCTTCAGAAACGCCGCCACTCAGAGCAGACCAAGCCGCCGCCGCGGCGCCGATGGACGTCGAGGTTCAGCTCCGGCAGCGGCAGCCTCAGGCGCCGCCGTGTCAGCAGGCTCATTTCTGGTCAGGTTAGTGAACAGCAGACGATGCTAACTAGGCCATGTTGGTGATGATTTTACCTTTGAAAAAAATAGCCTTCAGGGATCAGGATTCTGGTAGTAATAAGTAGAGTAGTAGATCGAGAAACACACGGGGGTCTTCCAGCTAGCTCCGCAAAGTGGTGGGCTAGATGATTTGGGTTTGAAGACTCACCCCTTCTAATTATTTGATATTAGGTCATTCCTAATATTCGCGTCTTTTTAGTAGAGTAGTAGATCAAGCTGAATGACCATGGTGTTCTTGATTTTGATTTTTTATTTCTTCAGTTAGTAATGATGAAGACATGTGGGCTGGATATTGGAAATATTTGGCGAGTGAAATATCAATTTGTAAGTATTTTCCTTTATTTTTTGGCTAATTGAAATGATTGGTTCCTACCATGCAGGTTTCTTCTGAGCTGTAAGAGGCTGCTGGAATTGGGGGGAGTAAAAATGACAAACTCCTACAAGTTGCTCTAAACTTGTTGATGTTAGCATGTGACTAGCATAGAGTGTTTCCAATATTCCAATCCATGTTGTCATATGCCACAATGTGCTGATCCAGACTAGCCTATGTCGGATCAATGTATGCTGATTTGATGGTTAAGAGTATGCCATGTGAAATTCATCTGCAGATTCTCTCTTCCAGATGAGTTTCGTGTATAGATTATTTTGTGAGAAATTACATAAAATATCCAAAGAAAACCATGTTTAGTGTAACGATGCTGTTGAACGGACAGAAGCCTGGAGAGCCCTAGTCGTCTACTGCCCTATAACCAGAACGTCATGTGTCCAATGATATTTCATCTCAAAACTCAAATTCATCTTCAGCATTCCCTGATTTAGTATCAGAAATTTGATGGATTAAACAAAGTGAACATAAAATTCTCGGACAGGGCAAATGAAATAAATGAAATAGACCACGGTCATCGCACAGCTCATTGTCTCAGAAGTGTCGATTGATACAATTAGGGAGTATGCAACTCTAATCACTCCACACACTGTTAAGTAATAACATACAAGTATACAACAGTGGTTTGCTGAGCACCTGTTCAGCGATGAATATTGTCCCCTCCAGGGACAACAAAAGTAAAAAAAGAAAAGAAAAGAAAAAGAATCATGTATTTGAATTCTGGCTGTTAATTTAGTTCCTTGAGCTGGTTCCCATGATGAATGGCCATCAATTATAACTGACTATGACCTTTCTATAGCCGAGTAACTGTTGCAATCTCTGTTGTAGAATTATCTTGAATATATGTGGCGGCATGCCGTCCCCCCTCTCTGTTTTAGTGCAAAAATAAGTGCCACAATATTTCTAGCCATTAATCTCCAGAGACAAATTTCTTTTGTGTGTAGTATCTATCTTCGCTTGCCTTCTTTTTCAAGTTCCTTTTCTGTTTACAGAAAGAATACAGCAATAATGTAAAGTAGAGAAAACACTACTGATCAAGCAGACCAAAATACAAATTATTTTTATTCATAAAGTAATAAATCCCTGAGACAGAAAATGTACCTTGTAAGCTTCATGGTTATCAATTATTCTGGTAGCAACTGAAACTGTTGTTATAGGTTTGGGGCTTGTGATTGTTTGGAAGATACCCATGCTCTTTGGAACGGCGTATGGATCAATACCGACCTGCAGCATGGATTCGCTAAGTTCCAAGGAAAATTGGGCAACTCATTATGGTAATATTTCAATCAGTAATTAGATTCAGATTAAGTGCTTACCACAGAACTACCCTCGGTTACTGTCCCATGCACAACCAATGAAATGTTAAATGTAGTGATCTGCATCATTTGATAAGAGAGAGTGTGAGGGCTTATTCGGTTGTCAAAAAGATGCCATGACACTGCACTGTGTTCACTACAATAGTTCTTTAAACCTATTCATGCAAACATAGCTAAACATGTGTGAACATACCATATCCCTTGAAACCTCCCATGGGGCGCCTATTATAACTTCATCAACATAGCGACATGCAAGTACACTAAGAGTACGCTCGTGGAGGTGCATGATAGGACGATACCCTCTTCTATCCCTGGACATTTAATTTGCATAAGCATCTTATATGAACTTTCAAAAGAGAAATCACATAACATGAATTGGTCTCAAATGTATTTTACGTTCGCTTATGATTAACTAGTTTCTGATACCAAATAAGTACCTGATTGCCTGGTCATCATGGACACCAACAAGAAGGAAGTCACCAAGTTGCCTAGCACTTCTGAGGATCTGCATTAAACAAAAACAATATATACTTGACTCTGGAACATGTGTGAACCACTGGGAGAATTATGGTAAAATTATTGGTATATGATAAAATGAACCATAAAAATTACCTCAACATGGCCGGCATGAAAAAGGTCAAAAGCACCATCTATATACACAACGCGAGCACCTGGCAAAGGAGCCTGAGTGCATATGAGCTATTGTTCAATAAAAGCAATAGAGTGACATGTCATAGAAATATGTAAAAAAAAAAATATCAACTTTATACTGTCAACATTATCATTCATGACCAAGATTGAAACAATACAAATGGGTGTATTATCATTAATGTGCGTGATCAGTCAGAATAGCTGAGTTAGTTTTTTATCCATAACCGTGCTAAATAAAGAACACTCACATGGAACCATAAGAATGTTGAGTAACCTTAGCCCCAACACAAGTGAGTAAAACAGAGTTCCTTAAAATTTCATACCTGTCCATTTGAAAACTGCATTATCCGGCGAGATGTTGGAAGAAAATTGGATAGCTGACTTTTCACTTTATCATATGTATCAGCTCCAGTGTTCTGATTGACAGCAACATTTGCATCTGTGGTAGCTTCCATACTGCCAGCTTCTTTCTGCTTGAATGTCAGTAGTATCCTCCCTGGGTGGAAAAAGAACACAGTTCCCACATTAAGATTACAATAGACTGGGAATATATGACATTGATGGCCACCAAGAGAATACAATCCCCAAAAGAATAGTGCCGATACTGAACCATGTGGTCATCTTACCGACTATATCAGTGCTTGAGACACCTTCAGTGCGTTTGATTTGCTTGTAGCGTCCAACCTTCTTTGCCAACGCATAAGCATCCGTTCCATCAGGTAGAAGACAAGGATCATCTCCATGTATAATGTAATCAATGTTATATTTATTGAAGAGGGTATTCATAAATTCTTCCGTGATCTCATAGGGCGCGTTGGGAATGACCTCATCCACCCACTTCAATCCACTAACAAGTGTCAACCTATACAGAAATAGCAAGTCAATGGGGAACCAGAATATTGTGTTAATATTAAAATATTAAAATAACCTAGGACTAGGCAGTTTATAATCTCTTGAGAGGACAATATCTTAAGTTGATCCCTTAAAAAATAGAAGCTGAAGGTTTAAGGGCATGCAAGATCATCAATAACATAGTAGAGTACTTCAGCAAAATGAATTCAGAATATTTTATAGCATGCCTCACAATACTAGCAAAGAGCCAAGGAAACCTACATTTTAGAGTTAATGTACAATTGAAGATTGTGTAATTCCATGATTGCCAATTCCAAGAGGTCTAGAACTCTAGCTTTTAAATGTTTTGGATATCAAATGATAAGATGGTGATTCTACAAGCTTTCCCAGTCAATTTTGCAATCCTATTGCTAACGTCAACAGCATAATTTTAAGGAGAAATTGATAGCGTATTGCACAAAACAAGAACTATTTTCTGCAGTACCTCTCTTCCATTGAAAGCACAGGTGGACCCTTGTTCGCCACAATCTCCTCATCACTAACAACTCCCACTACAAGTTGATCTCCCAACAACTTGGCCTGCCGTAATGCATTTGCATGGCCATAATGCATGAGGTCAAAGCATCCATCCATGTACACTCTCACAGGCCTTTTCCGTTCCTTCTTCTTTGGAAGTTGTGCTAGATATGGCCAAAAATATGGGGCAAAAGGAGCACCAATTCCTCCAAAGTAGCCTGTCGATAACCAAAGAATGGCAACAGTGACCATAACTCCTCCAATCCCAAACAGCTGGGAATAATATCCACTATTCCAGAGCCCTTGGTTGCTCTCAAACGCTAGCAAACCCATCATCATTTGACAAGCAGGTGTATTATCTTGGTACTATATCTGAAAAAACAGAGAATAAACAACCAAAATGAGATCCCACAGTTGACAGAATTGTGACACGAAAGGATAGTGGTATACACAGAGATGGAAATCGTGTCGTTGTCCAACCAATGAAGATTCATCCTAATTTCTTTATTATTTTATAAACAAAAGAAAGTGATTGGATAGAAGGAAAGTGCCTTTTTTAAAAATAATTTATTGCGAAAGGTTTGACAGATATTAGACGCATAAGCACAAGAAATAGCTAACATTTACTAATGTGGTTAGCTACCAAGTCAAGCTGGACAAATCCTAACCACCAGATATTTCATCAAGCTACAGCGCGAGAAGAAAAATATGTTAGGAATACACAACAGACTCATGTTGCGTTTGCAGGAAGCCACATAACGACAGCCAATGCTAGCCAAACAATGCACGCTGATTGCATGAACCGTGTTCTACCTTTCCCCATCAGGTCATCTCATAACAACAACTTCAATATACAATACAAAGCACGATGCGAAATGTTCCTTCTATATCACCAGGCATCACAAATCAAACAGGATAGCCACTGGAACATGTATTATTTTAAGCCAAATAAAGGAAATCTGACGACAAACGGAACCATGATCCACCATTCCAAAGGTGGCAACACTAGCCTTGACAAACGAATTTATCTTTCGTTCTTCATGCCATAGCATAGTTTAGACAAGTACTAGTTACTAGTAAAAAAAATTAACAAAACGAGAGAAGAAATCGGTTCCGATTGCTCACGCCAAAGCTCAACTTTTTTTTTTTTTGCACACCAGTCAACTATGAGCAACCAACTTAACAACGAAACAGATTCTAAAAGAGTGAACTGGCAATCCAAACAAACAAAACAAGCACAAATTTTGGGAGACATGTTTCAAATCCCTCCCCCCATCGGAATCCCCGCAAACAATTGAGACATCAAACGCCGTCCCATCCGCCCGCGAACCAACCACCAAACCTATACTATCTATCAAAGAGAATCAAAATCATTTTTTCTTTAAAAAAAGGCATATATTCATAATAGCACAAATTCCGCGTGCTCCCAAGAACAAAAGGCGCGAGATTCAATGAGAGGCGCCGCCGCTCCCCCAACCCAAAAAAAATAAATAAATAAATAAATTACGGATTCTCCCTCGTTCGAGCAATGCAAAGCGCCGGCGAAACCGAAGCACATACATCACACGAGGACGGAAGGTAAAGATGGAGAGACGGACCGAGATCGGGGCGGAACGACGGCCCCGGCGAGATTCCCGTCGGCGGCGGCGGCGGCGGCGGCGGGCGCGCGCTTCTCCTCCTCTCCTCTCCGCGCGCGCGTGCGTGCGCTTCTCTCTTCTCTTCTCTTCTCTTCTCTCTCCTCGTTTTCTCTTCTCCTCTCTCTCTCTCTCCTCGTTTTGGGGGAGCTCGGCTGGACTTCTCCACCAACCGCTTTCTCCGGGTCCCACACACGAGATGTATTTTTTGCGATTCCGTCCCTCAACTTGTGAAAGGATACCAGAAACTGATTCTACCTCGGTTTCCGTTAACGTGCGTCTTACAAACAGTGTTGAACGATGTGTTTTCGTGCGAAAGTTCTGTATGCGGAAGTTACTTTAAAATATAAAGTATATAAGTATATATGTTTTTTGAGTTTGTAATAGTTGAAACTTAATTAGTTATGTGCTAATGTCTTTTTTTTCTGGTTTTCCATGGTTTTACTTCGTATTCATCTTCAAGTGCTTGGTTTTAGTGATTGTAATGATTTGGGGTAATATTTTTATAAGTGAATTGTAGTTTAGGATACCTTTTTATTACCGATGTTTTACTTCGGATCATTGTTTGATTTTTTTTTTTACTTTGGGCTAGTAGTAGTTTTGATCACCATAAAATTGTTTATTCAGCAAATCAATAACCTCATGCAAGTTGGTTTCGGCACATCGGGCGAACTCCCCGATCTATGCGCATGCCATATGTTTTCCAAATAGAAACTAGACATAGCTATAGAAGAAAGGTAAGATGGTCTAAACTACAATAAATGTAAAGTTAGCTAGTCTAAAGTAAAACAGATTAGGAAAAGTATGGTTCAAAGTGAAATGTCAGTGGCCAAGCTACAATTCACATTATTTGTGTTACGCGATACTTTGACTCTTTTAACTCATCGACTTGGAAGGACAGTGGAATTCAACTTTAGAGTGACTGTAGTGGTAATACTGGTATGAGCTCACATATAGCCAGCTACATAAACTCAATAGAAGATGAGATTAATGCAAGATTGAGCAACATATTTGGAGTTGAGATGTACATGTGAGGTTAACGGAGAACAATATGATTCTAGCTCGATAATGAACTAAAAGCACAAGGAAAGAGAAAAATACTATATAGGGATGGGATGTCATGAATATTAATCTTGCATGAAATTCGGATGGAACAATTTGCCTTTGAACATTGTTCGCTTTATTCCAATCAAAACACACCAACACTTTCGAATCATCAAGTCTTTATTTGATTCCTTTTTTAATACCTTCCTTAATAGTTACTAATATATTTAGCAAATGGGGACTAAAGCCCTATAAGCTTATGGTGGAGATTCGTGGTTTACGTATCGTGAAGCTTCCTCTCTATAAACATCTAGTCCTAACAAAATATTTTCGGAAACGTTTAATTCTTTCGTACGAATAAATGTCTCTGAGACGAAGCAAAAATTATGGAAAAATTTGAGCTATAACTGATATCGATTTAACAAGTCTCGTAGAACTCTACTACCACAACACCAAAAGAAAAGACTTCCAACCAAAACGAGCCAGTAGTATTTAAACTAGAGTAGGCTAGTTATTAGAGATAACAACAAATTACAGGGGTCTAGATGCAAAAAAAAAAGAAAAAACAAATCCGCAACGGGACGAAATTTTACAGGAGAGACGAAGCGATATTTGCGAGGGGCGCGTAGCATGCGAGGGCCCACTGCCAGTCTGCACGTCGCGTTGGCCCTCATGCCACTGCCGCGTGGGCCCCGCTGCAGCGGCCGACACGAGGGCGTGTGGGCCCCACAACCCCGATGCTTTGACCGTGATAAATAAATAAATATAAATAAATAATCTCTCCTCTCCGGAGATGGAAAGTGAGAAAACATGAGAGAGATTAATTAGCAGCGAAGGAAGAAAGAAGACGATGACGAGTATACGTGTACGTGAAGGACTGTTCTGTGACTTATACTAGTATACTTGTCAATTTGTCATGAATTCTGGAACGGTATAATTCAATTCGTAGAAAAAAATAAAACGTGCCTGATACAGCTGGTTGTTGTATTTGTTTACACTGGTGAAAATTTAATAATTAGTTGATTTTAGTGGGTACGAAGTAGCTGAATTGAACCTTAGATCCTTATCGATTGTACTCACTCCATCCACAAAAGTTACACCTATTTCACATTTAAGTTTTTCTAAATAAGTTGTTTTTATTCGTAGTCTTTATACATTCAAAACTTAAATAAAGAGATAAATTAAATGTTTAATTAGAACTAAGAAGTCATCTAAATGCTCATTGGTTGCATGCTTGTATTCACTCCTTGATTTTGTAACATCCAAGACGATTTAATTTCTCCTTGATCTTGATAACAAAAGTAATATGTATAACTTTTGTGGATGGAATACTAAAAGAATAAGTCAAAGAGAAAAAAAAACTTAATTTTTACAGTTGACTTTTTTTATTTTCAACAGTGTTTTTATTTTTATTAGCTTATAAGTTGCCAAGAACACATAAATAAAAGTTGTATACGTAAACTATTTTTTTCACTAGTAAGCTGTTATGGCATTTGGACAACATAAGACCCTTAGATTATTTTTAGCAGCGCATAGAGTGGCAGTTGATAGATACCCTATCCACAATATTTTGCTAGTGTTTGAAGATAAAAATTAAGTGTTTTACGTAAAATAAAGTGGTATTAACATATGATTAATTGGGTTTTTAATTATTGCAAACTTGGCAAATATATTTATCTAATATTTTAGAGCAACTTCCATATAAAAAGTTTTCGCATGAAACACATCGTTAAGCAGTTTGAAATGCATACCACGAATATCCAAATTTTCTTCCAACTTTTGTTGGAGAAAAGAACGGGGCCTTTGGTTCGATGCACTACATCCGATGTCCAGATTCGTAATATTATGATATATCTGATTCAACCAAAATTTTTATATTTTAAGATAAAGGGGTAATAACTATCTTGAAAACAAAAAAAAATGATATGCTTCTCCTGAACTTATTTAACACGTAATATAACTTTTTTTAGAACAAATTTATATAATCCGGTAAGTTTATGATAATACTTTTGAAGACAAATTTGGCACACTTTTTCTTCGAGAAAAAACTAATTTAAGAAATTATATGCGGTCAAAGATTTTATCGAATCATCATATCTTAAATGTCAGTATTACTTCCTCCATGACAGAATAGAATATAATGATTTTTAGTGTTGGACACATATATTAAGAAAGTAGGTGGAATTTTTTTTTTGAAAATTACACAGTACAACGCAGACACTCACAACGCACGCGCACTCACCCCTATGAGCATCTTCGAAGACTGGGCCGGCAAATTCTAGAATATAATGATTTTTAGTGTTGGACACATATATTAAGAAAGTAGGTGGAATTTTTTTTTTGAAAATTACACAGTACAACGCAGACACTCACAACGCACGCGCACTCACCCCTATGAGCATCTTCGAAGACTGGGCCGGCAAATTCTAGAGAGATTGACGAAGACACCACAGGCGCCTCGCTGTCGACGGGTACGTCGCCTACCACTAAAAGCATAACGCCGTTAAATCCTGGAAAATTTGCTCCCAATGGGAGTCGAACCCAAAACCTCATGTGCTAACGAGGCTCTCGTAACCACTAGGCTACAGGCCCTTTCACAGAAAGTAGGTGGAATTAAATGAGAGAATGTTGTGATTGATTGAGAAGTGGAGGTATGTGAGAAAATTGAATGATGGAAGGTTATAATTAGTTGAGAAGAGAATGTTGGTGAAGAAGTTGTATATTCTGGGACAAACCTGTAAGGTTGTTACTCCCTCCATCCACAAAAGTTACACATATTACTTTTTTCATCAAGGTCAAGGAGAAATTAAATCGTCTTGGATGGTACAAAATCAAGAAGTGAATGTAAGCATGCAACCAATGAGCATTTAGATGACTTCTTGGTTCTAATCAAACATTTAATTTATCTCTTTATTTAAGTCTTGAATACACAAAAACTACAAATAGGAACAACTTATTTAGAAAAACTCAAATGTGAAATATGTGTAACTTTTGTGGATGGAGGGAGTATTATATTTTGGGATGGAACGAGTACTAAATATTTCCAACCGAATGGATTAATTATCTTATATCTTCATCTGATCAAAACCAGGCCTCGGTACGTGCCCTTATTAGCCAAATTTTGCTTGGAATCGCACTCACATGTGGGAGAAAGTGTCCAAGGATTCTCACAGATGACTTGATGGTGAAGTGAACAGTGCTACCAACCAAAGCCATGGTGTTTTTTTTTAAAAAAAAAAGAAAAACAAAAAAACAAAACCATGGTGGTGCAGATGGCATGATCATCTTTTCCAATACTCCCCCAACACCCTTTCCTTTTCGAAAGGCTTTCGTTTAGTTTATTAGCGTGCTTATTTGTTGTTCAGTTCTGTCCTCTCCATCTTAGAATATGTTTATTTTTTTCTTTTATCGTTTATTTTAAAATAATTATTACATCGAAGATATGTAAAAGTATAAAATAAATATGTTGGCTGTAGTTTCTTTAAGTAAAGACCGGATTTACATGCTTGTGGCTGAGGGTTCAAGCGGCTATCCGTGAAAACCCACTTATAGACTAAACTAACCCACAAACTCGTTTATTTTGACATATAAGTTGGTTCCCAGGTGACGCACTAGCATCATTTTGTGGCTGTGACAACCCAAAACAAATCATGCGTGATGAAACCACACGCTAACCAGCCCCATTCTGGATTATCAACTGGATTTTTCGGGCCAAGCATTTATAAAATCTTTCTTATCAGTGTTGCCTGGATAGACTTTTCTAATATATTTGTCGGTTTTAAATTTATTATATTCCACATCTATATAAAACGCACTTGAGAAGGCAAAGACAGATCTAGGCTCTCCCTTTTAAAGCCTTTTTTTTTTTGGCCCTGCATCATGAAAATAAAGAACATATGACCAAAAATGAAAAAAAAAAGGTTCTAGTGTGAAACTTTCATACTTCTATTTATTGCGGTTGAAAAGCAAGTTAAATGATAAAAAGTGAAAAAGAAAACGCAAACTAGTTCAAAGTTTTAATCTGGGATTTATATTTAAAATCAGGGCAGCTCATCAGCCAATATTGCTATTTGCGACGGCTTGGATAC